GGATTGTGTAAAATGTTAATAATATCTTGTGACTTGTGTGCATGCTGCTCAAATTTCAGCTTGCGTAAAATGTAAATATAAATATTGTTTATGCATGTCTTGATTCATACAGAGCAGCGCTTGAATATGCATGCGATGCTGATATTGCCTTTGCTAATTCCTTAGAAGATTTCGGAGCTGGGCATGATGACCCTGTCAGTGTAGCTATTGGAGGTTGTTATTCTTTTCTTCTTCTGTTAGAAATCCAATAATATTTACAAGTAGAGCTGTTATACGTCACAAAATGTGTGTCTACCTATGAATAGCTCATGCAGACAAATGTCATGCATACCATTTGTAAATATTGGAATTTTCTTGGATTTTGAATTATGATATTTCTTATAATTGATACTATTGCCATCTTTTATCCATATATATTAAGCCTTAGAAAGTAGAAACTGATTAGACTAGTTCTCACTTCTCATCACCAAAGCTAGAACTTAAGATGTGTGGAAAAGGGTTAGCTGAGCATTTACTTGTTGCAGAATGTAGACGATAGTAAGCACATGTCCCAACATATGTTTGATCATTTGAGCCTTACCATACTTAAAAACATCACTTAATGAAATTGTTTATATATTTTGAACTAAGTGGATCCTGTGGACTGTGGCCCTCCTGTTTTGCCTCCTGTCCCACTGTTCGGTCTATAGATGATGATATGTATAACATATAGTTAAATCTTGCTCAAAACTTACTCTATTTGGTAGTGACAAATTCTGTTTCGATAGGGCCTGTTATATCCAAATTTATTACCACATTCCGTGAGCTGGGTACATACAAGGAACTTCTCCGATCTCAAGTAAGTGTCTGGTTGCCATCTACCTCGTTGCTCTTCTTGTTGTACTAAATATTGTGGGTTATCCCAATGTTGTTAATAATACTATTGTTATTATCATTTTCTTTCATCAATAAGCAGGGAAGTATTTGATGCATTGATTGCTCAAACATTGTTATCACTTTACTTACAGCAACATAATTCTTTAGTTTCACAATCAAGTATTTGTGTAGTGTATACCGTATAATGTGTGATATCCAAGTTAGCATGTTGCATATACTAGCTTCATGCCATATGAAACTATTTATGCTTTATACATCAGCGAGGTCATTTACTTAGACGCTCTGGATATCAATTACAGGTAGAGCATATGTTAAGTGAGCGCTTGATTGAGTTCATGTCTATTGATCTTCATGGTGTTAAGGTAATTCTATTCCTTACGTTTATCATTTTTTTTTTCTTAAAGTGAACCTAGTTAAATTTGATGTCGATGAATGTTTTTAGTAGCTCTTATCCTATGGTGAGATCAGTGAGAACTGTATAAGCAAAAGCTCATTGTCCAAGCTGGAAAGATGGCATTCTGACTCATAAACAGTTCTTTCCATGCATTGCTCTCTTTCCCTTGTCAATAAAATGAAATAAATATCCAATAGGATCCTTTGTTACATCAGAACGTAATTCCACTCAGATTGGTAGAGCTCTGTTAGGGACCAACTATGTAATTAAGCTCTCTTTGGCATGTAAGCAGACTCTGTTAGTTCCGCTAAGAAAAAACAGATGCTGCTAATTTATTAAAGGAAAACTTTGCCAATGTCCTGTCTTTTGCAATTGTTATCAAAGGAAAAATTCATTGAATTACTATTTTGTAGGAGAGTCGTCGACGCTTCGACAAAGCTACACATGTATATGATCAGGTATTGTTTTATTAATGCTAATACATTGGTATCAGTAAGAACTTCTTATAATTAAACTATATGCTACAAATTGATTCATCCATTGTATTAATCTAAGGATCAGATGAGAGTCTAAAAAGGTGTTTTATAATTTTCGAAAGTTATCCTTAAACTTTAAGATATGTTAGCCTGCTGGTTTAGTTCTCGCATATAAAGAATTGTGTTGATCTCATGATCTCCACAAACATTTAATATTAGTTGAATCAACATATTATAGGTGCATTATCCGAGATAAGTGTTGGCATTATATCACTTTCAGAGTCGAAAGAAAGTTCCGCTGGGCACATGTGTAAACTAAGTATCGTGGATTCATTATTCTAGATAATGGCACAGACCTTAGAACAGCGTTTAGAGTGATGATAAAGCACAGTAGAGATAATACGCTTCCTCATACTGATTCAACATAGAAAAGAGAATTGAGACTTACATCAACCTTAATATCTGCAAGACTGCAACTACATGTTCTGAGATTTTTTCGGCTGATGACTATGATGAAGCTGATAACATATTTGAGAAAAATTTAAGCTGAATGCAACATATATTCTAATATTTTTGAGACCACATGGGAAGCTAATTTTAGCCACAGGCATTCAATTAGTTGTCTTTGCTTTTATTAGAGGAAATAATCTAGCCAATGACTTGTTTCTAAGGGCAAGAGTATGAATGCACTGCAAGAATTCTCATTCAACAAAGCTCACTGTATGTTGTACAAAGTAATTTCTTTTAGCTACTAGTGAAAACGACCTTAACCTCTGGGCTCTGGCTTTTCCTTAAATTTAGTGTAATATAGGTTTGAGTACTATATAAACATTTCATCATGTTGATGCTAAATGTGAGTTTTGACTAGGCACGTGAAAAGTTTATGTCATTAAAGAAGGGAGCGCGGGCTGAAATAGTTGCTGAACTAGAAGAGGTATGCTTTCGCCATTCCAGTCAATCTGTTTTTTCTTCTTATTTTTCTGCGTAACATATGACACTTTTATTGGTGTAATTTCAAGATTACCGTTTATGCATTACATACATCATTTAGCTCTGAGTGGTTGGATCGAGTCACTTGTTCTGGTATCAAACCTTGTCTAGAAGATAGACTTGATTAAAAGAGCTCTATGTCCTAGGTTTATTGATATTTTTTTTTTTTAATATTTTGAGAGAGGTTGTATTTAGTGATTTACTGGTTTAGAGTAATGGTTTTTTTCTGCAAAGAATTGAGAGATGAGTTGCGCAGAAAATGTTTCAAGGTTTGAATGACATGATATGAATTTATATTATACGTTTATGATAGGTTAACACATGACAAAAAAAAGTCTTCTCCATAAGCATTTGATTGTGATTTGTAAACACTCACGCATGAGCATTAGCTTGTCCCCTTTCTTGAACTATCAACCTGTTAGTTGTTATTAATGTATCAACCATCTGAGTCTTGGAGCCAGGCCCAACGAGAAATAGTCAATTCTATGAAAACATGTGTGCGGGTTAGGGTTGGGGGGAGGGGGGGTGCGTACTTGGACCTCATTCTTGCACGTATGATATCCTTGGCATTCTTGCGCATATGGTAAAAGGAAATTGGTGGCATTGGAACTATCTTGTTTGTGTATGTAAACTTCAGTCCATGACCTCATATATTGTCTAAAGCCTGTAAATTTTATGCAGGACCTGCAAAACTCTAAGTCAGCATTTGAGAGGTGCCGCTTCAATTTAGTATGTGTTATATTGTTGCTGTATCATTATTTGATTTCAAATTTTTATTCATGCTTTCTCTTTTAAGGAACTATTCTCTACGGTCTTAAGAATTTCAGGTAAATGCTCTCACAAATATTGAAGCAAAGAAGAAGTACGAATTTCTGGAATCTGTCAGTGCTATTATGGATGCACATTTGAGAAATTACAAGCAGGTGCGCAAATCAAGTGCTAATGTTTGTTAATGTTGAAAGAGTAATCTTCTTTTAGCTGTTAAATATTGACCATTGACATAGTAAAAGCAGTTGATATCTTTGCCTTCTAGGGGTATGAGCTGCTAAGCCAGATTGAACCATTCATTCACCAGGTAAAAACTGTTTTACACCTTCTCTCCATTTATTTAGAGAGAGAGAGAGAGCACAGAGAGTGCACACATACATCACTCATTCAATTGCACGCAGTCAACCAGAACACCACCACACTCTGCAGTATAAATGTTAGTCCCTTGTACAGATGCAAAAAGAGTGGTATAAATTGTTTTACACCAAACTCTGCAGTATAAACTGTTTTACACCTTTTCTCCAGTTATTCAATAAGAATGGAGTTATTTGGTGTATTGTTGATATACCATAATATGGACTGCTTATCATGAAACCAGATCTTAACATATGCACAACAATCAAGAGAAATGGCCAACATCGAACAAGACAAACTCGCAAAGAGGATTCAGGAGTTCAGGACCCAGGTTGAGCTAGACAACTTGCGAGCTTCTAGTAGTGTTGTGTCTTCAACTAGTAACCATGGAATCCATATCTCTCGTACACATTCTTACAAAAGCATTGAAGCACTAATGTTATCTGCTGCGAAGGGGGAGGTACGACAATTTTTATACCAAACCTAATAACTTTTGTTTTATTTAGAACTTCCACTGAACTGTTTCTTCCCTTTAGTCCTCAGACCCTTTGTAGGTTTTTGTCCAGATTGACTTAAGTCATTTCTGTTCTGCCTAATCAGATGAAGCTCTTTCATTTTTAGGTCCAGACAATCAAACAGGGGTACCTCCTGAAATGGTCTTCAAGTTTACGGGGAGATTGGAAGAGAAGGTTCTTTGTCCTTGACAGTCACGGGACTTTATACTATTACAGAGACAAAGGGACAAAACAAGGGGTATGTTTCCTGGTTCTTTTACTTATTCATACCCTTCTCTTCTGTGTGTGTCTGTTAAGAAGGTTAGGATTCATGTCTTTTCTCTTGGTCAATGGACAAAAAGTCGCGATAATCAGTATTACCAAATTTTATTAAAATAAGCCTCAGTATTTAAGTAGGAATTAGTGTCATATTCCCAACTATATTAGAAAATTTGGAATGACGCTTATTTACAAAATTTCAACAACAGATTTGCGCTTTAAGAGCTCTGTAGTATTTAATAGAAAATGTTTCATTGAAATATGAAAATGTAATTGAAGCGGTTCTAGTTGCTCTTCGGGACGGAGTGGAAGAAGGGAGGAGATTCTCGAACGAGGAAAAGGATCCAATGACTTCGAAAGAGTTGAACGAGGAGCCGTATGAGGTGAAAATCTCATGTACGGTTCTGTAGAGTGACAGTAAGGGTGACTTAGAACACTCATTCAATAGAGTTATATCCCATATTTGGTCTATATCAATTATGTTCTTGGATACATTTAAGGAGTACACTCTAAAGTCACATACTCACATCCTGTTTATTTTCTTAGACAGGTTGTAGTCACAAAACTGTCAATTAGATATTCTGCATTTACTGCTAATTCCTGTTTAGACTTGCCCTTTCTTTTGGGGATTTCCAATTGTCTAAATGGAATGCCTTAACTTAGCCTGACTTGAGTATAACGGGCGAACTGATTTAACTGGTTGACATGGGCTGTGGGCCATTGGGCTAGACAGAAGTAGTCTGCACTCTTTCCTTGTGAAGTTTGAAGCGTCGAACTCAGAGAAAATTGGCAATGAGTGGACTTTGCCCAGGGGCTTATATATGTAATTATGTATATATGCTAGGCTTTGAACACCCACACTAATGTAAACCACCATTTTAACTATCTTAAAAAATTAATTCTGAATCCTATCTTGAAAAGACATTACTGCAATGCTCTTTAAGTTTCTTGTTCATTTACTAGATCTTTCTTTCCCACATAACTTTTGTGCCGTGTGTTGTGGTCATACTTTGGTTTTCATCATTGGCATCAATGTGTTAGTGGAAATCTCAAGTTTGCTTCTCAAACAGGCACAATGATTGTGGTGTATGAACAAGTGAATGCAATTTTTTCCTGGGAAAAAATATGTTTTTTCAGAAGCCTATGCAGTTCTATTAGATTCTTTTAACTTGATGGATCTTATCATGTATCAAAATTTTGTTACTCTATGACTCCATGAAAAATGATTCATGATCACAAGATCTGTTATTAAAACCTGACACTGCATATACTTCTACTTATTCTACTAGGGTTTTCAATCACACCAATCAACTGGAACATCTGAGCGTGTGTTCGGTAGGTTCAGACCAAGGCACCATAGGGCCTCATCTCTGGGGGAAGAAAACCTTGGTTTCCGTACTGTTAATCTTCGTATGTCAACAATAAAGATTGATGCAGAGCATTCAGATCTGAGACTTTGCTTCAGAATCATTTCCCCATCAAAAACATACACATTACAGGTAAAATATTGAGGTATGAGTAAGGTATGAGCATAAAAAGCATGGTGATGAATCTATTAGCATTTTTTTATTTAATCTACTAATATCTCAACACCTCAATCATTTATATCTCAAAGCAGTGTGTCAACCTTATCCACGACTTAAACAGCTTCCACTAGTACACCATGTATCTGAACTACAGATTATATGTGGAACATTATATATTTTGGTAATTTCTATCGTAAGGAAAGCTGATAGTCCATTCTTTAGTTGTCCATCAATATAGCAGTATATAAGAAAGATTTACATCAATGACAATGAGTGCATTCACCTGCTGCTGCTAGAATGTACCAATTCACAATCTTGACTTTCGCTTTTCACTCGTGCAGTAAATGGTTGTCTACTTCTGCAGCCTCAGATCTATCCACTCACACAAATAATCACCAATCAGTCTTAATTTATTTGGCTAATCTATTGGCTTTGAACAACGTGATTTCATTTTTTTCATTATTTTCTTACACATTTATGTTTGAGAAGACAACCATTCTCTGTTTTCCCAGAATTTTTGTTGACCAACGTTAGTGCTGGATATGCTAAGCTTATGCTTATCTTTTCTGTTTGAAATTTATTTTGATAGGCAGAGAATGAAGCAGAAAGGATGGATTGGGTTGATAAAATCAGGGGTGTTATTGCGTCGCTTCTAACTTCACCATTCCTAGACAAGGTTGGTTCCATTGCTTATTTTCACCTTTTTCCGAATTTAGAAGTGTATAATTTAGCAAAAATACTTCTGATTGACAAGGTTTCTTGGGAAACTGACTTTTTTGTTTAAACAAAAGGATGTGAACATCAACAACTCTTTAGGTGGTGTTGGTTGCGAATCTTCATCACCAGATGCTCATGTAAGCTCAGAAGACGAGACGAAATTTCAAAGACAGGATAGTGTTTCCAGAACACTCAGAGCCATTCCTGGGAATGATATCTGTGCAGAATGCAGTGCTTCTGATCCTGATTGGGCATCATTAAATCTTGGAATTCTTTTGTGTATTGAATGCTCTGGTGTTCATCGAAACCTTGGAGTTCACATTTCAAAGGTGTTATTAGTTTTGATGTGCGATAATTGTCATTCTCTTTGAACTAATTGCAGAAACCTCACCAACCAATTCTAATTATGTCTAACTTTTTGAAGGGCTTGTTGCTTTCTGGTTGAATAGTTTGTTCTGTTCTGAAAGTATTTAATCTTTTCATGTTTGGTATGATTACAGGTGAGATCAATAACATTAGATGTCAAGGTCTGGGAGCCCCCAATCTTGGATTTATTTCGTAACCTGGGTAATGCTTACTGTAACTCTGTGTGGGAGGGATTACTTCATCTTCACAATCAAAGGTAATGACATGGTGTAATATATATCTATATATGAGAATGACATGAAATATATCTATTTCATCATCAAAGGATATCCTAATTAGGAGATACACATTCTCTTGGGAGAATATCTAGAGTTGACATCATATATTGAAACTTTACATAGTTTGCAGCATGGACCATCTTGAATATGGTACAATATTTGTTTGGGACTCAGAATCAGTTTCCCTCTGAGTAGAGTGGAGTGGGTATATTGTAAACCTATGAAATTGATATATTCTTTTTTTGTGTTGATTTTTCGAAAAGTAGGTTACACTTGATTGGTGTAAAGTTCGTTCAGTTACGAATATGCAAGTCATATCTATGTGGCTCACTAATAGCAACTTTGAATGCTTGCAATAGATTTTGAAAGTTCAGGATCCGTGATCGGTATCTCAAACTTAGTACACTGAAACATTTCTAACTAGTGGGGAGAAGCAAAGAGACACTAAAGCAAGTGTTGGTTTTGTACATAAAATATTCACTGTCATGTCCTATCATGATACATGGAGCCAAAATGAAATATTTATTTTGTACAACTGTTGCTTTGTTTGACCAGAACCAAAAGTTACAACATCTCAGCACAATACAGTATGTACTAGTTAAAACAACAGAGAGAAGAAGATGAAAAGAATGGGAAAAGGGAATTATGATGATGGGATGGGAATTTGCTTCTAAAGTGTCAAAATAAATTTTTACATACCTTCAGGTCGGTCAACAGGAGTACAGGATTATTGCCCTTGAGATTCGCTGAAACTAAATCTGCTCTGATTGAAATGTTGCAATAGTTTTTGGATTCCTATTCTTATCTTTATAGAATTTCTCTACTTTTCTAAATGATTCAATGCTTTATAGAAGGGATGAAGCAGATGCAACTTTGTTCGTTACAAAACCCGGACCCAAAGATGATTATTTGAAAAAGGAGACCTACATTCATTCAAAGGTGCTTATTGGGCTCTACTTTTTACAGTATTAAGAAAATGTGTTTTTTATCTTTTATCACGCATATACATATACAAACAAAAGGTTTTTTTAATGGTAGTAAGCTCAAGTATCCGTGCTCATTTTGTTATATCTTGGGTGCGTTAGATTTTTCTATTTTACATGGGGGAATTGTACTAAAATATGCACTTGCATTTTGTTGCACTTATGCAGTATGTGGACAAACTGCTTGTTCTAAAGGAAGGGATAGAGTCTGACATGCCTTCCCACGCCACTCGCATTTGGGAAGCAATTAAGACTGATAACTTACGAGCAGTGTATCACCTCATTGTGACTTCCAATGTTAATATCAATACTAGTTATGATGAAGTGGATGGTGCCGATTGTTATCACAATATTGATACACCTAACTCAGGGGATGGTTCTCGCCATTTAGCAGAGAGGAAGCAGTTTGATCCAACAACATGTCCGAGAATCAAGGACTCGGGTGAACCAGGGAACTGTTTAAAAGGCTGCTCCTTCCTGCATTTGGCATGCCATGTTGGCGACATTGTGATGCTTGAGCTATTGCTTCAGTTTGGCGCTGACATAAATTTCAGTGACTTCCATGGAAGAACTCCTCTGCACCATTGCATTTCAAAAATGAACAATGTATTTGCAAAGTATCTACTTAGAAGGTAATACATTTATTTTACAATGAAGTCTTCAATATTACCGCATGAGATTTCTATATTTTACTAGAGATGATAATAGTACTTTGCATTTGTTTTTACGGTAGTCCAGATTTTCTTGGATGAGTCTGCAAAACATATTAATGTATTTTAGGATTGTTGATCAGGGGTGCACGTGCGTCAGTCAAAGATGGTGGAGGTCTTACCATATTAGAGAGAGCAATGGAGATGGGAGCTATAACCGATGAAGAACTATTTATTTTGCTTACAAAGTCTGAGTGAAAATGGAGAAGTATATCCCAATTTGACTAATGTAACTATGTAAGTCCATAACCATCACTGCTTCGGTAATTGCTAGGCCTTCTGATTTTTATATTTTTATGGTTGAAATGTCCATTTTTATTCCCACAAATAGGAATTAAAATGAAAATAAAGGAACAAGAAAAAAAGTGCAAAGTGCAGTCTACAGTCTACATTACACTTTATGAGGGGAGGTCGTGAACTTCATCCTTAAAGCAGAATGAGGGTACATAAAAACTTGAATAATGCCAGTTTTTATTAAGGACAGTAGCCTTTTATGATTTTATCTTTGTAGTTTACTCTTTCATGCCAACTATTAATCTCTGATATTTAGTAATATTCCCTCCAGAAGGCATGTCTGGCTAGCTGGTTAATTTTCACAGATTCTTGATAAGGCTTTGGTGGTAAAAGGCTGCAAATTATTAGATTAATTTTATATTTCCTCTTGAGAAGTTTTACCATACCATTGTAGCCATTATAGGTGCATGTTCATAAATTTGAATCTTTCTTTACCTGATCATTACTTGACAAAACTTTATAGACCTAGAGTTGCTACTAAATTTTAGTATCAACTGGCAAACTATATGTGGAAAAAAAAAAATGTTGTGATCTATGTGTGAATGAAATTTGATGGAGTGAAAAACCCAATCAACAGAGACCAGTTCTGTGCGC